CCTCAGGACATATACAAACATTTCTTCCACATCGATATTTTTCAAATTTCAAACAACTGATACCACATATTCATTCTCTTAAAATACAATATTCATGTATGTTTAATAACAGAGACAAGTTACAACTCTCTCGAGAACCGACCATACGATTATGGAAACAATTTAATTCAACCGTAACTGTTGATGATAAATTTTATATTTTTTTTATATAAGATATAGCTTTATACCCTTTAAGTACACAAATACACTTAGGTCATACAAGTCAACTGTTAAATATACACAAGGAAGATATATATATCTATATATATATCTTAACTACTTATATGATAATTACATACAGACTACTGTAAGTAAATACATACCAACAATTAAAAAATATGTCTCGTACACACAAGGAAGTCCATTATGGTAAATCATAGAAATATGTAAAGCACCTGTCTCATATAACAATGTTGTTTTACTTGAATAATTAAAAAAAAATTCATAGAACAGTTTTTCAGTTCTACTCGTGGAGGAAGACTTCCAGTGTCCTTTTGTTTACTATTTTTATGCCCATAAATAAAACCATTCACATTAATTAGTTGGTTGAACCACTTAATCATTTGGAAAATACTGTTATTAAATGTCTGTGTTAGTAACTTAGACCTTATATATTGTAAATGTATGGACGAAAGCAGACCTAATTTATACATGTATGGAAGTAAGCAGATTTATTTACATATATTGAAATAGGTAGCTACTGAATATCTTATAAGTAAAACAAGAGGGCAATCTAAGCCCCCAATTGCTCTACTGAGGACAAAATAGTATGTTGTGCTCAGGTGAGCTATTAAAAAACAAGAGCGATCAGTAATCACATGTGTCGCCTCATGATGGCCAATTTCATGTTGGGACAAATTTTGTGACAGACGGACAGACAGACGGACAGTGCACAACTACACTAACCACTTTGTACTGATCATTCCTGTAAAATTTGGATAAAATTGCACCAGTAGTTTATGAGGAGTAGTCCGGACAAGCTTTTGCGTATCTGGCAACACACAGAAAAAAACACCTTTTTATCAAAGGGCCATAACTCGGCCAAAAATCATTCAATCGGAAAACCCGTGCAATATGCGCAAGGACTTGAGCTACAGATCAATCCTGTAAAGTTTCATTGAAATTGCATAAGTGGTATAAGAGAAGTAGTCTGGACAAACTTTAAAAATAAAAATTATTAAAGGGCCATAACTCAAACAAAAATCATTGAACCGGAAAATGCTGACAATATGCACAACTAGACTTGGTACTGATCATTCCTGTAAAGTTTGGATGAAATTGCACCAGTAGTTTATGAGAAGTAGTCCGGACAAGCTTTTGTGTATCTGGCAACACACAGAAAAAGAAACCTTTTTATCAAAAGGCCATAACTCGGCCAAAAATCACTCAACCGGAAAACCCGTGCAATATGCGCAAGGACTTGAGCTACAGATCAATCCTGTAAAGTTTCATTGAAATTGCATTAGTGGTATAAGAGAAGTAGTCCGGACAAACTTTAAAATTAAAAATTATTAAAGGGCCATAACTCTGACAAAAATCATTGAACCGGAAAATCCTGACAATATGCACAACTAGACTTGGTACTGATCATTCCTGTAAAGTTTTGATGAAATTGCACCAGTAGTTTATGAGGAGTAGTCCGGACAAGTTTTGTGACGGACGGACGGACAGACGGACAGACAGACAGACAGACGGACAGACGGACAGACAGACGACGGAGAAGTGATCCCTATATGTCGCCACTACTCCGTAGAGGCGACACAAAAATGGCTTCTTTAACAAATATTCTTTACATGAAAACTAATAAACTTTTATTATGAATCAATTTTTCAAATCAATTAAATTAATCAATTTATCAAATAAATCAATCAAATAAATCAATTTATCCTAAAAATGCATGATGAATCATTCTAACCCTAATTTCTTCATATTGTTTATCAATTAATAATTATAATGATGAATGAATTTTTTTAATGATTTTTCCATATCCAACAAAAACATGTTTCCATATGGGTCAGGAGACTTTACATACTTCCAAGTTACTCTGAACAGTGTTTATATATATATATACATGTACACTTTTGACATACATGGATATGTTAAGAAAATCTCTAATACTAGCATAAAATGTTATGTATACAAAAGATTAATACACATAAGTGTATTAGTGTACATTGTAGTTTTGAAAATCAACAGATCAAAACAAAACTAGTAATTTATTAACAAACAATCAAATCATTTAATGTTAAGCCTCTAAAATGACCATCTGAAAGAACAATTTCCTTATACATGTATATTTTAGTATAAATGAATTTTTTTCTTATTTTTTAATTTGATTCCTTGTCAATAAGTGAATACATATCGTCTTAATTAAAACATAGAGGAAACATACACAAGATTTGATACATTACAGTACAGACTTATCTTAAGGAGTGTCAAACAAATTTTGCTTTGAACTATAAAATTATCAAAATTAAATTAATCAAATTAATGAATCAAAAATATTTAGTCATTCTGCACAGCTACGTTATTTTATTAGGCTGGTACATGATGTAAAGCTAAGACTGTCAAACTACAGATTAACGGAACAGCAAGTTCAAAAGATGTTATCTAGAACTCGGAAATTGTGAATATTCCGAGATTGGCTGAGAAAACCTAAAAATATTCACAATTCCAGAGTAAGTCAATTCATAACTTTCCTGGTTAACATATTTTTCCAGGACTATAGACTTGGTACACACATGAAGTTTTCTAATGCTTTGTAAGTTAGTTCATTGTTAAACACTTTCCTTAAATACTCTCTATCTTCCTTCACTGTATATTAAAGGAACTCCACTGAGGTAAGAAAAGCATAAAAACACAGAATTTGAATTTCTTACATAGATCAACTTGGGTACTGAGAATAAATTGAAAATCATATTTTTGTGCTATTTTAGCCCAATATGAGTGAAATTTGAAAATTTTGAATTTTTCACAATTTGAATAATCATTCTGGAAAAACAAAGTGAGCGATTGATCTGAAATTTTGCACACAAGTTATTTGTCTAGACCTTCATCAAATGAAACATTAATCTTGAAAAATTATTTTCAGGCCCGTCATGTCAAAAAACCTCAGTCGAGTCCCTTTAAAATGCTGAGACTTAAACATGTGATAAAACACTTATCAATACAATGTGAAGTATAATACATGGTAACTAAGACAAAATAAAAACAATTTAAACAATTATGCAGACACACAATTAAAAACATATTCTAATGTTCTTTTACATTTTGCAGCACAAATAGATACAAATAGATAGCATATTGTAGGCTCAACACAATACTTTCCTTTATTTCTTAAGGTTCAATACATTATGAAACTTTTAATTTGTTATTTATGGTCCGATAAGTTATGCAAACTTTAACTTGTTCATAGGTTTCCATCAGTAACTACAATTTGAACTTGGGTCCAATAAGTTACAACAATATTAACTTGTTCTTAAGGTCCAATAAGTCATGACAATTTTAACTTTTTCTTGAGATCCAATAAGTTATGACAATTTTAACTTGTTCTATAAAGGTCCAATAATAACTTAATATAGGGGGTCCAATAATAACTTGATCTATCGGTCCCAATTATAATTTCATCTATTACAGTTACGAAGGTATTGTATGAAGTCTGCAATATAAATATCATACCATATTTCTACAATCTGCATCATACGTTTTATAAATGCTGAACACACTAAAACAGTTTGAGGTCTATTTACAAAAAAAATGCAACTTTAGTTTTACATCATAATTAAAACACACATGGATTTTCATATATGTCATCAAATAAAAACAACAATATCTATCAATGGGTGGTTCATTGCAACCATTTCATCTTAACAAATTATAATTACTGTAATATCAAAGCATTGGCAATTGGCTTACAATGGCTTTTCCTTTAATATATATTCTACAAAACTAATTTGATTTCTTGAAAGTTCATGACCAATACATTTTGTTCCAAAATGAAAGTAAAGCTAATTTAAATTATTCAATTTGATCTTTATGGGCATAATCTTTCTTTATGGACAAAAAAAAGAAAGATTATTAACTTCTTTAAATTCATTTATATGAAAATAAAGTTAACTGAAGGATTACATTTCTTTACTGTTTAAAGGAACAACAGTGCTGATTACCCTTTAAAATTCAAACAGAACTTAAAACACTAAATTTTTTTTTAAGATTAAAGCTAATTGGTCATCTGGAGGCGTGACTACTATACTTTAAGGATATATTTAATGCACGAACAGAATCTGATGCCTTCAAATGAGCAAATAAGATTTTAATAAACTAACAATAGCAGTGTAAACTAATGCTTATTTGAAATCATTTCTAAATGAGCAAACTTGATTAAAATACAACTGCTTTAAAATCAAATTATAGACTGAAAAATTTTAAAAGGCCGGACGCAGGAAATATGACAAGTGTTGGCATAGCAACGCTCACTATCACTATAAGCCTTATGCTTGGCTGAGAGAGCATGTATGCCATATGTCCAGTGGTGAATATGAGCCCTATATCCTAAGCAAAAATTGATCTATTTTGACTGGTTTCTTAAAAGTTGTGACACATTATATAATCATACACATGAATGTATTATTACACACATGAATGTATTATTACACACATGAATGTATTATTACTCACATGAATGTATTATTACTCACATAAATGTAATATTATACACATTAATGTATTATTACACACATGAATGTAATATTACACACATAAATGTAATATTACACACATGAATGTATTATTACTCACATGAATGTAATATTACACACATAAATGTATTATTACATACAAGAATGCATTATTACACACATGAATGAATTATTTCACACATGAATAGTATTATAACTCACATGAATGTGTTATTACTCACATGAATGTATTATTATACACATGAATGTAATATTATACACATGAATATATTATTACACACATGAATGTAATATTATACACATTAATATATTATTACATAACCTAGCGAGCACTTAATCAGAGCCATTGAGTTTTAAATAGTGAAAAATTAGCTAAATACAGCTTGAAAAATAAAACTGACAATGACTAAAGTATATCACTGACAAAGAATAACTAATAACGTCACCATAGCAACGAGGAAATACACAATATTTCATTGGAAATATATATAAATCACAGATTGTATATACATTGTAACCTCTGCATAGCACCGCAGTTTCTTGACATACAATACAGGGGTTGTTGGCTAAATTTGACGAGGGAGTTATTAATACTCAATATTGTTCCGACGATAAAATCAACATAAAGAAATATACCCGCCATTCGAGTAAAAGAAAGACCTCCGCAAGTGTGCAAGTAACAGAGGTTAAACTACAATGAATATCATGCCGCCCATTTCAATTCTACCTTAATAACCTAAAACACTTAACGGAAATGCATGTATTCACATAATTTTCTAAAACAAAGAATTGACTATAAGTTATTATATGTTAGCTATGTCGAGTCGTCGTGTGATAATCTCGCCATTTTCACCGGAGATGCTCCCTCGCTTCCTTCCAGGTTGGCTTTGGCTGAATCCCGCTTTGTAACATTCTGTAATTAAAGGATATTCAAATTTGAATGACAATGGGTTTAATACTAATTTTATTGAACAAGTTCAATATTTAAATTTCATAACGAGTTGAACAAAGTCATATGCCTCTTGCAAGCACAATATTGTTTTATCCAAGTATTTCAATAAATTTAGTACTGAACTGTCATGAAAATAATATTCTATTTATTACATATCCAACAAAGAACGGTTTACAGTACGAAAAGTTATTATTTTCATTGACAGGAATGGTGTAATGCTGACATTAGTGCGTTTTTGAAGTATGTCTCACTCAAGGAGAGCTTAATAATTTAACTAAATTTAGCTAACTAAATTATTCATCGACAGAGGTGACCTTTTAAGTCTGTCAGCTCTACTAAACTTTTCAAGGGGAGCGGTGGCCTAGTGGTTAAGGTGTTTGCCTCTCAACCCAGAGGTCATGGGTTCGAGATCTACTCGGGTCATGACCATGTTTCTTCAAATGACACCAGTACTGGTTGGTTCCAGGAAGCAGAATCAAAAGTGATTGATATAAGTTGAACACCAGCCGGCATTTTTGTGCTATCGGATAATGGTCTGTGCTGTTCACTATTCTGACATTAGGAAGCCACACTCTTCTATTCCAAAACAGTTCCAACTAACCAATCTCATTAAAATCACATCCTTACCGTCACTCCACTACCCTTCTCTAGGTAGGTTTTGCAGTGAAGAGTAACGGAGCGAAAATTATTATCTGATTTTAATGAGATTGCCAAGTAACAAAACTTTCATAATTTTCATAATTACAACATAAACTTACTTTTCTATCCCATTGTTGGTGTAAATATCGTAATAATATATTTGTTTTCTCTGTTGTTATTACTGAAATGGAGAAAATCATTCCAATAAATACATGTAATATCTACAAACATGATCCATAACTCTTAAATTGACAAAAAGTTAAATTTTAAAGAGAATTCACTGACGTATTTTGACACGAAGGGAAAGGAAATCATTTTTCGATATTAATGTTCCATTTGATATAGGTCTAGACCAATAATTTGTGTGCAAAACTTCAGGTCATTAACTTCGTTTTTCCAGAATAATTTTGCTAGTTGTGAAAAAATGACCCAAAAATTGTTGCAACACTTCTCACTCAAATCTGGCCAAGAACAGCACAAATTTTTTTTTAAATTTGGTTTTTCACGTTATTTCTGAGCACATTTCAAGGGATGAATAAAACGGGCATGAATAACTAACTGTTTTTACCTTGTTCAGATGGGTGGTCTTTGGTACAAATGTAAACTGATGGCTTTTTAACCTAAAATATAAAAACATGTCAAAATAGAGAAAAATGGAATTACCCTAAACAATGACGAAAGCTACAACATTGAAAATGTTGGATGCCTCATGCAAGAAAATCACTCATTGTCAAACAAAACTACATATACCGTTATTTGTATAAATTATTACATATTTCTGTCACAGGCCAATTTTGAATCATTTTTGCAGCTGTAAAATATATGTAGATGTATTCTGTTATTTCCTTCTCATTTATTAGTTAAATTCCTATTATCTCCAAATGGCACATGTATTTAAATAAGACCTTATCAAGCTGTCTTTAAAAGTAATGTGTTCCAACAAACAAGAATCAGATGAAACTTTCATAAAAAATAAGATACAGTCAATTTGCCTTTAGCCTGCAACAAGTGAATCAATGCTGTCAAATGGGTAGCTTCAGTCACTGTCAGCAGCAATGCTGTCAAATGGGTAGCTTCAGTTGCTGTCAAATGGGTAGCTTCAGTCACTGTCAGCAGCAATGCTGTGAAATGGGTAGCTTTAGTCGCTGTCAGCAGCAATCATGTCAAATGGGTAGCTTCAGTCACTGTCAGCAGCAATGCTGTCAAATGGGTAGCTTCAGTCACTGTCAGCAGCAATGCTGTCAAATGGGTAGCTTCAGCAATGCTGTCAAATGGGTAGCTTCAGTCACTGTCAGCAGCAATGCTGTCGAATGGGTAGCTTTAGTCGCTGTCAGCAGCAATGCTGTCAAATGGGTAGCTTCAGTCGCTGTCAGCAGCAATGCTTCAAATTGGTAGCAGCAGGTTAAGAGTTAAGATAAGGACTTACATTAGATTTTAAGCCTGATTCAGCATTAAATCTTGTGAAATTATTCTCATCATAGGATGGCAATTCCTTTAAGAAATCCGCCTGAAATTAAAGAAAAATAAAGTTATCAACATGATTTAAATGCAATCATTTTTCAAAAAATAATATCTACAAAAAATAAATTGCCAACAAATCAATGAATACAACTGTAGCCTATTTTCTCCACCAGACACCTAACTTTAATATAACTAACTATTTGTTTCATAATAACTCATAGTATTTGTGTAAATTGTAATAACAACCATGTTCATCAACAACTTATCCAGATGTTAAAAAAATATTTTATAATTTCTGTATAGTTTCCAGAAAACATGCAGAAGCTCAAAATTGTAGTTATTTTGCACATAACTTGAATGTCACATGATAACGCCCATATTAACCTCAGGTAAATAATTTAATAAAGCATATATTTATGTTTAACATTTAAGTGACTTTAAAATAGTTGCGAATATTTCTACATTGCAAAAATAACCATTATGCATGTAAGCTAGGCTTATGAAATGTGAGTTAGGAGCCCAGTTTGATCTTTAAACACTTAATGTCAATTTAATTGCACACACTTTTATATACCATGTATGGTATTTTATTAATATTTTTTTTAAAACACATATTTCAACAGTCTAATGTCAACATGCCTATAAAAAATATCCTATATTTAGTTTATATTAAAATGTGAATGGAAGGAAAAGATGCCCGATTTCATAAAAAAAATTATATTAGATCTACAGATCTACAAATACTTTACTTTATCCAGCGTAGGGCCGCGAGATCAGAAATCTCTTGTAACCCCCTCAAGGTCTGACACCCAATAATTATTATCCGGTACGACAGTATATTATTTGTTTATCATAACTTTATGGAGTCTGTTTTTTTTAACATGATCGATTTATTAATTTTGTTTGGTTCTTTTCATTTTTTTTTGCTCTCAGTCATACTTTTATTAATGGATTTCACGTACAGTGAATAATAAATAATTAATCATACCGATTAGAGAAATGATTAAGTATATTCTAAATATACGAATATACGTGATTATTCCTTATTTTACAAACTAATAAGGCCCGGGTTGAACATGAGATATGCCATGTTTTACGCATGCGGATTTCAATCCACCTCAAAATGAATTTGAAAAACAAATTGTTGGAAACTTTTGACTGTCATTTGATTAAAACTCGTTCTCTTTATAATTTTACTGAAAACTATTGAAAGAAACGTCTTTATATATATAAATTACCATTTTTTTAAAACAGTTGCAAACTGTCAATCCAGATCTCAGTTCTGCGCAGTAGACGCTCTTGTAAAACTGTTGGAAATTGCAAGCTTCCAGACAGGCCGGATGTTTTACAGAAGCACTGCGCATGCTCGTTAAAAATAAAAATGTCGGACGACGAATTTATGTGCGATGATGATGAGGAATATGACTTGGTAAATATAGACAAATGTGATATTGTTACATCAAATAATTAATGCATATATTTCTTTCCCTTGTTTACTACACATTTCATTAGTTGTCACTTTATACTTTACCAATTATGTGGTGCCTTAGCCGGCACGGTGTAAACAACACAAAAACAAGTCAACGAAGCAGTACGTGATAGTTTTTTATATCAAATAGTGAATTTTCACACAAGATTTCGAAATGGCCAGAATCCTAGCACCTTGGACCTCATATTTACTAATGAAGAGTTTTTGATTGAAAAATTGGAACACTTTCCACCAGTTGGTAAAAGTGATCATATACTGTTGACTTTTAACATTATATATGTAATGTAGAGCAAATTGAAGAACCAAATAAATTGAACTTTATGTATGATAGAGGTGATAGACGCTTCCATAAATTTTGAAATGAGTTCAATCAATTGGAGTATTGAATTTCAGCACAAAAGTCTGGAGGATAAATGGTTAATTTTTAAAGAAAAAATTCAAAATAAGGTAAAAAACACATACCAAGAAGAAAATTTTAAACGTGTGTTAAAATAAACAGAGGCCCTTGTGGATGACAAATACAGCCTTGAAAGCTGTAAAGAGAAAACATAAATCATGGAATAGATATCAACAAACAAAAGAACTTAGATACTATTTGAACTATTGTAACAAATAGAAATATTGCAACAAAGGAATGTAGAAAAGCAGGGTCAGATTTTTTGAAAAGAAAATATCAGAAGAAGATAATCAAAAGGCTTTTTATAAATATGCTAACTCCAAGAAAGAAAGTAAAAAAGTGGTATTTCTCATTTAAAATGTGAAAATGGCACTTATACAGAAAGTGACCTAGATAAAGCTAATGAACTTAATAAATTCTTCAAAAGTGTATTTCAAATTGAAGATAACAACAATCTTCCAGATATTACAAATCGCAGCCAGTGGTGGAAATACATTAAATGACATTTTTTCAGTGAAGAAGTATTGACTAAGCTACTTGAGAATTTAAATGTTAATAAATCTTGTGGTCCAGATTTGCTTCACCAAGGGTTTTAAAAGAGTTGAGAACATCAATTGTTTCTCCTTTAAGCACTTATATTTACTGAATCTGTAGAAACTGGAATATTGCCTATGGATTGGAAGACTTGCGAACATCAAATGCTTTATTTAAAAAAGGAAGTAAAGATTCACCAGGAAATTATAGACCAAATTAGTTTGACATGTATACCCTGTAAATTGTTGGGAAAAATAGTAAGGAATATTATTGTAGACTATATGAATGTTAACAACTTTTTCTCTGCAGCCCAACATGGTTTTAGATCGCTTAGATCATGTGCCCCTTCAGTTTACTAGAAGTCATGGAAAGTGGACAGATTGGTTAGATGAAGGGCAGAAATTTTGATTGTTTGTATTATGACTTTAAAAAAGCATTTGATATGGTTCCACATTCTAGACTAATACTTAAATTGCATATGCTTATGGTCTATTGGTGGTGCACTTTTTATCATGGATCAAAGCAATTCCTTACAAACAGAACTCAGTGTGTTGTTGTTAATAATAGTAAACTGACTATTGTAGTGTAACAAGTGGTGTTCCACAGGGAAGTTTGTTTTTAGGACCAATATTGTTTTCTTATATTCATTAATGACATTGAAAGTCAAATTAAAAGTACATTGCGTGCTCTTTGCGGATGACACCAAATTATTTAACCTGGCAAATGTAAATGAAGACTTTAACCAAATACAAAAGGACAATGATAGTTTAATACAATGGAGTGAAAAGTGGTTAATGCAATTTTAATGTAAGACAAATGCTGTGTTTATTCATTATGGACACAATAACACGGAACATCAAATATTTATGAAAAAGTGACTTTACAACTAAACAATTGAGGTCTAGTGAGGAAGAAAGAGATTTAGGTATATTATATGATAAGGATTTGAAATTTCGACATCAACATAAGTAATTGTAATCAATAAAGGCAAATAAAATTAACTGGATTGGTCAGAAAATACCTTCTTACATGTTAATATCAAGCAATTTCGGAAACTTTATAAAACTCTTATAAGACCACACTTGAATATGGAAATATTATTTGGAGTCCAAAGATTTAAAAAAGATAAAGTTGAAGCAATCGAAAGAGTTCAAAAAAGAAGGCAACAAAAATGGTTAAATGTATTAGAAATTTATCGTATGTAGAAAGATTAAAAATTCTAGAAATTCCTAAACTTTGGCTTACAGAAGATTTAGAGGTGATATCATACAAGCATGGAAATTATTAAATGGGAAGGAAGATATAGATTATAATGTATTTTTTGAAAAAGCAGCAACTTGATAATCATCACATCAGAGGAAATTCATGAAGTTTGAAAAAAAAAATCATGTAAAAAGGAATTAGAAACATTTTTTTTCTCATTAAGAGTAATACCAGAGTGGAATAAATTACCAGATTATGTAGTATGTTCACCAACGCTGAATTCGCTAAAAAACAGACTCGATAAGGTTATGAAAAACAAATTATATACTGTTATACCGGATAATAATCATTGGGTGTCAGACCTCGAGGGGGTTATAAGAGATTTCTGATCTCGCGACCCTACGCTGGATAAAGTAAAGTAAGTGTCAAAAACAAATTAAGAGGAATGTTACATTTTTAGGATACACATAACAATGTAATAATTTTGAAAGCTTTTCTAATGATATTGATACAGTGACATGCAGCCTTTGCCATCTTTGCTTTAAGAAGGCAGTGCATAACAATGAGGTAATCAAATAAAAATAATAAAATAACTTGAAATCAAGGACTGAAATGGTTTTATAAATTCCAAAGGGGTACGGCTCATTGAATGTTCACAAAATATGTATTTGATGGTAGAAAACATTTATCCTAAGTCAGAAATGAATTCTAAGTACATTCCCATTACACTATATACTAATATATAGACAAGGGTAACAACTCCCATAAGAAGGTGTCTATGCCCAATCAGGGTTTTTGCCTCGCAGTTTTTTAAACGATACAGCATAAATAAAAAGAATTTGTGCAATTTGTAGTCGAATGATTTATCTATCGAACCAAGGTAAAACTTTTCTTATATCTCTTATACTTAACGAGTACTGGCCGTCAAAGTAACAAAAAACTGTTCATTTTCGCAAGGTCGACATCGATCGTAGCTACGCAGGAAACACAAAGTTACACGACTGTTGCAATCGTTGGAGATAATATCACAAGCATTTATCATGCTGGGCAATTGAAAATACATAAAAGTAATCAAATATACAATAACCTATAATGAAATGTGATATAAACTCACGCTTGCGGCTTCAAAATATTTCCCGTTGAAATTTTCTATAAAACACCGCCATCTTGACGAATGTAAACAACCGTCATTGGATTTGGTCGATTTATTTCCCGAAATTTTTTGAAAAAAACCGACCAATCAAATGACGGTTGTTTATATTCGTCAAAGATGGCGGTGTTTTTATAGAAATTTCAACGGGGAAATATTTTGAAGCCGCAGTGTGAGTTTATATCACATTGTCATTATAGGTTATTGGTATATTTTGATTACTTTTATGTATTTTCAATTGCCCAGCAATGATAAATGCTTGTGATATTATCTCCAACGATTGCAACAGTTGTGTAACTTTTGTGTTTCCCCTGCGTAGCTACGATCGATGTCGACCTCGCGAAAATGAACAGTTTTTTGTTACTTTGACGGCCAGTAGCTCGTTAAGTATAAGAGATATAAGAAAAAGTTTTACCTTAGGTTCGAAGATAAATCATTCGACTACAAATTGCACATTCCTTTTTATTTATGCTGTAATCCTGTAAAAAAACTGCGAGGCAAAAACCCTGATTGGGCATAGACACCTTCTTATGGGAGTTGTTACCCTTGTCTATATATTAGTATATAGTGTAATGGGAATGTACTTAGAATTCATTTCTGACTTAGGATAAATGTTTTCTACCATCAAATACATATTTTGTGAACATTCAATGAGCTGTACCCCTTTGATAAATTCAATTTATTTTTTAATTCTTAACATTTTTCGTTTGATAAATATAATGTTCTATTTCAATGCACCATTTCGGTTGTCAATCTGAACACCTGGTGGATTATTCCCAAGCTAAAAAGTTGTGATTGTTCCATTTTCTGAATACCTTGCCAATTATCATTGACTTATACATTTAAATCCTGCATTCTGCACCCTTATTGCATTAGTAATGCAGTAGAAAATAATGTGATAAAATACTGCAAAATCAGTCTTAAACCGCACATAACATGTAAAGTTTAACTTGGATCTTCAATACTTTTACCTTTCTTAAAATTTTAGTACATTTTTCTCAATATTGATTTCCTTGAAATATTTTGGCTCATCTGGAGGTGTGCAGCTTTAAAGTCAGTAAAAACTATTAGAATGTAAGTGTATTAATTAATATGATTATCTAATGTTATAGGAATACTCGGAGGAAAGTAATTCTGAGCCGGATGTTGATCTGGAGAATCAGTACTATAACTCAAAAGCTTTGAAAGATGACGATCCAAAGGCAGCTCTTGATAATTTTCAAAAGGTAAGATAGTTTTATTAGTGTACCATTCATGTATTGTATCTTTGAAGCACTCTGTCAGCTGTTTTTAAGCCCAAATTATCTTAAGGTCAGTTTGTAATGTATTAGAACAAAATCACTTGCCTATTACTATTGTTGGTTTGAATCCCGACAGGGACTTTGAATTCTTTTCATGTTAGGAAGCTATTCAGCTAAGTTATAATTTTACAAAACATCGTTGGTTCCACTAATGGGTGCCTTGCTTGGGCCTGAAATAATTCAAGGAGGGAACATGAGGTTTTTGTTCACCTATAAAGCTGGAAAGTCACCAAATGAACATTACATTGTTGATGTGTCTTAAGACAATGTTTTTAAACAGTTCCTTTGCCTGCATTAAATTTTACCAAACTTTATCCAGTGGAGTCATATTCGCCAAGTATGGGAAACCCAAAGCACTGTCACTTTACCCTAAAATCAACTGAAATATGATGAAAGTTTTTTTTCCATTTTCTAAATCTTGGGTGGCAAAATCAATTTATAATAAACTTTATTGCCCTGGTTGTTCTACAGCCTGTACGGACAAGTTGAAATTTTCAAGAATTTACTTTATAAATATCATACAGACAAGTTAAAAAATGCATCCAAAAAATGGGCAAGTAAGTCAAAATCAGATCTTACTGGCCCTGCATTTTCTCAACTGGCAAATTTCATAAATTCTAAGTTTGCTTCCTCAAATTAAGTTTCTAAATCTGAGATGCTAACTTGTTACCAGTTAATGCTCGAGCCTGGTACAGCTTGATCTAGTGGTAGACATCTAAAGCATGAAGCCACATGCCCTCTTTGTTTTCTTAGGTTGTGAAACAGTGAATGAATAGATTTGAGCCGTGTCACAACAAAATGAACATAGTGTGTTTGTGACCAGCATGGAACCAGACCAGCCTGCGCGTCCACGCAGTCTGATCAGGATCCATGCTGTTTGCTTACCAACTCTATTACAAGTAGAGAAACTGATAGCGAACAGCATTGATCCTGATCAGACTGTGCGGATGTGCAGGCTGGTCTGGTTCCATGCTGGTCACAAACGCATTACGTTGGTTTTGTCGTGATGCGGCTCAGTTTAATAAATTTTCAGGTATTGGAGCTGGAAGGCAAGGATAAAGGTGAATGGGGATTTAAAGCTCTTAAACAGATGATCAAAATCAACTTTAAACTGGTTTGTACAATTTTTGTCAAATATTAAAAACTAAATTTCTCTTTGATAATCATTTTGGGGCATTTGTAGCCAAGTGGTTATGGCCAATGACTTCAAACCACTTGCCCCTCATTGCTGTGGATTCAAAACCCGCCACAGACTTTGGATCCCCCCTGCTTGTAGTTGTAGTTGTCTTAACACTATTCTTTCTATAGTGTAATAACTTGTGGTTGTCTATGCACTTTATTACCTTATTTAAAGTCACAGTAATGCTGTCTTTTACTGCAGTATAAAGTGTAGGAAGTTCTATGAAAATCAATTATATTTTATTAACATATACTATGTATCTCATTTCATATTTAATGTAGGTTATGTCTGACTATACATATAATGTTTGTTATATCCTCTTTCGTTGGGGGGTGTCCGTGGCCGAGTGGATGAGCTTGTTGACTTCAGCCCACTTGCCCCTCACTGCTGTGGGTTCAAATCCCAACAGGGACTTTGGATTCTTACATGTTTGGAAGCTATCTAGCTAGTAGCTTACGGAACATCAGTGGTTCTACTGGGTGCTCGTTCATGCCTGAAATAATGCACAGAAGGGAGCCTGATGTGTTCTTTCCCCCAGTAAAGGTAAAAAGTCACCATATGACCTATACTGTGTTGGTTCGAAGTAAAAACCGACAAAAATATATACATTTTAACAAACTAACTGGTGAATTCATATTCGCCAAGTATAGGATACTCACTTTTTAGTTTATTCTGTGTCGTCAGACTAACTACGATGAGATGATGAAGAGATACAAGTTATTATTGACGTATATCAAGTCAGCCGTGACGAGGAATTACTCGGAAAAATCTATCAACTCCATTCTAGATTACATCTCTACATCAAAACAGGTAAAAAAACATTAAAGCTTTTATCCTGCTGGAAAAAGGAAAAAAGAGATTAATAGCATGATTTGAAACTGATACTTAATTGGTGCCTCTTTTGAGAGTTTTAGCTAAATTGGTGTCATTTTTGTGATGTTTATTGAAAGGATTTTATACTTATACTAAATTGGTATCTCTTTTGCGATGTTTAAGGAAATGATTTAATACTGATACTAAATTAGTATTACTTTGGCAATGCATAATTGAATGATTTTAAACTGACACTAAATTACTATCTCTTTAGCCATGTTTAATGACATGATTTTAAACTTAAACTAAATTGGTATCACTTTGGGGATGTTTAATGGAAGGATTTTGTACTTATACTAAATTGATATCTCTTTGGTGATGTGTCTGACATAGAACGATTTTAAGCTTATACTAAATTGGTATATCTTTTGTGATGTTTAATGGAAGAATTTTGGTTTGGTTTAAGATGGAGTTGCTACAGAATTTCTATGAGACGACATTAGATGCATTGAAGGAAGCTAAGAATGAGAGGCTGTGGTTTAAAACAAACACAAAACTAGGCAAGCTTTATTTTGACCGAGGCGACTTCAATAAGCTTCAGAGAATATTAAAACAACTTCACATCTCCTGCCAGGTAAATTATAACTGTTTCTTATTGTTTAACAAGACCGTAACTATAGCATGGATTTGTACTGAATAGTATCTCATTTTTTTAAGTGGCCTTTTCTGTTGGTGAAAACAACTCTGTGTTGTTTCAAACTAATTCAACACATCAATAAAAAATTTCACCATTTTAATGTTTAAATATTGAATTCTGCTTAAGCCAGTGCTAGGGCGCGTGGACGGTAACTTGCACTTTCTAGTACCGTCCATAAACATGCTCAATCAAAACGAGCATGCAACATTTTCAATTTCGTAGTTATTGCATACTTTGACTTTAGGGATTCCGTTTTTCTCTATTTTTGACAATGAAAATATGAGCATAATGTCTCTTTAAATAAACCCAGTGATTATGCTGTCAGTGTTATAATATTTATGATATATATAAATGCATTGTTCTATATTTAGACTGACGATGGGGAGGATGATTTAAAGAAAGGAACACAGTTACTGGAGATATACGCGCTAGAAATACAGATGTACACTGAACAGAAAAACAATAAAAAGTTAAAGGTTTGTTAAATCTGTTGAATATACAATCATATATAATATTCACTAGAATTTTTCTTGTTTGTTTGATTTGAATTATTTCCAAAGCTTCACTTTGTTTGTTTGTTTTAAATGATTTTCAAAGCTTTACTGATTAAATGTTGTTTTTTTAAGCATTCAGCAGAATTGAAAACATTAAAAACATCAAATAAAATCTGAATTTAAAAAGTATAACATTTATTAAGTTGACATGGAGATTCCACTTTGGAATTCAGTTAAACATAAATCTTATATATTACACAATGTAGTACTTTATAATGCTGTATATACACAAATCAATCGGACAACGTTATCAAACAAAAAGTACAATGAAGATGATGACGATGATCATTATGAAGTTGATGATGATGATGATTATAATGAAATTGATGATGATGATGATTATTTTATGAAGTTGATGATAATGAAGATGATGATGATTATAATGAAATTGATGATGATGATGATTATGAAATATGTACAAAACATTAATACATCAACATATGAAGATATATATTGCCAATTTTATGCCCCCACTACTTTTGGGAGAGGGGCATGAAGATTGTACTGATTCCTTCCGTCATGTTGTACAACAGTAGACATAACACTGGCATATGAGGGCATCCGTGTCATACAGACTCATTTAGATTTATAGTTCATTGTTGCTTTTGTTATATCACGTTACTTCTATTTTCTATATATTATTTATTTTGAAATACTCTTGGATATTTCGTACAATGGATTCTTGGGTAAAAACCGAAAACCAGCTCCCTTGGTACTTTTCACTTTGTTTAAATATAGCTTAAGGCAGTGACATCATATTTGTCATAATTATGTCATTTCAGGCACTATATGAGCAGTCACTACACATTAAATCTGCCATTCCTCACCCATTGATAATGGGAGTTATCCGAGAATGTGGCGGCAAGATGCACCTCCGCGAGGGAGAGTATGAAAGAGCACACACAGATTTCTTCGAAGCATTTAAGAATTATGACGAGTCGGGAAGCCCCAGGTAGGATTATAACAGCTTTTATATAGTCACTCTAATATAATTTGAGTAGGGATAGTGCCCTAAAACGGTAAAGAACACTGACATACTGTCCATCAGAATGGATTCCAATTAATAATCATGCCCCCTGCAGCCTCCCTCTGTATATGACTAAATGAATAAAATAATCAGTATTAAAGGACCATTTCTTTCAAATCTTAATGCAGTTTTATAGTCTTTTTTATAGAGTTTAAAGGTTAGAAAACACTTTGCTCCCTTGTAGAATTTTGGTTTTTCTCAGACTTGTATTGAAAAGTAAAAGTAAAAAATTGGTTCTACCTCTATTGTTTTCAAGTAAAAAATCATCATGTTATAACCTTTATTATCCACATGAGATAGAATTTCCAACCAAGGTCCAAATCAAGTTAATAAAAATTTGTATTTCACTTTGATTTTTGGTTATGTCCCAGCAGTCGATCCACCTATCCTGTTTCATGGATAACTAACCAGTAATTACCAATTTCTCGGACTACTATTCCCACATGATTTTTGAATCTTTGGTGAGTGGCAAATGATCATTACACTCAATGTCTAACATGAGTTGTCACAGAGAATTAAGTATCATTCAAGGATCCTGTCAGCAACCCCAGATTTATAATTCAATGCTCTCTTTATAAAGCTAAATGGGCAAATAATAAAAGTATATTTATTTTATTTTACAGGAGAACTACATGTTTGAAGTACCTTGTGTTAGCGAACATGTTAATGAAGTCTGGTATTAACCCATTTGACTCGCAGGAGACGAAGCCATATAAAAATGATCCAGAGATTCTAGCTATGACCAATCTTGTCAGGTAATCACATGATTATGTTATTAAATGCTATTTGTTATTTTATACAGAATTTATTTTTAGCTCACATGTAACAAAGTGACTTGGTGAGCTTTTGTGATCATGATTTGTCTGTCATTCCTCCGTAAACTTTTACTTTAAACAACATCTCCTCATAAGCTGCTAATCCAATTTCATCCAAACTTAACTGGAATGTTTCTTTGGTGGTCACTTTTAAAAATTGTTCAAAGAATTTAATTCCATGCAGGTAGAATTTAATTCCATGCAGGTAATCGAAAGAAAAAAACTTTAAAAAATCTTCTTTTTAAAAAACCCCAAAAGCTATAGCTTAGATATTTGGCATGAAACATCTTCTAGTTAGTGTATACCAAGTTTGTCCAAATAAAAGCCTTAGGGTCAAAATTGGCCCTACCCAGAGGGTCATTAAATTTTTCTTAAATGTACACATCTTTTGGAACTGTTGTTTTCCCTTTAGCAATAGCAACCTGTAATGTTTTTTTACACATGCACTATTTCAGATACATTATGAACTTTGTGATATCCGATTTAGATTTTATATCTGCTTTTGTTTATAGTTTACAATATTACTGGATAGTTTTTATATTCAGGTGAGCGATTTCAGGACCATCATGGCCCTCTTGTAGTTAGATTGCGTCAGAAGACTGTTCAGAACATTCAGATTCACTTTTACTTATCTGTGTACAACTGCTGTTAGCTATTAGGATATGCAACCCAACAAACATGAATCCTCTAAGAAATACTTTATTACCTCCCTTAGATATTTTGTATTGTTTAAGAATAGGAGATTATTACAATTTGCGTCGATGGTTCTACTCAAGTGCCCTTTCGTGCCTGAAGAAATGCACAAAAGGGGCACCTGAGGTCTCCCTCCACCAGTAAAGCTGGAAAGCTACCATATCATCACCTTAGTGCAGTAACAGATTCACCCATAACTGAACTAAGGTGAAAGTATGACCTTTTCAGTGTTGCCGCTGCAAAGAGACCCAACAAAAAAAAATATATAACAAAAAGTAGAAAAGATTTTGTACAAAAAATGACTTTATAGAAGTCTAATTCTACTGTCGACTGTATTGAATTCTGATTCTATTTTCAGTGCATACCAGAATAACGATATTAATGAATTTGAGAAGATTTTACGGACAAACAGACGGAACATCATGGAGGACCCGTTTATACGTGAACATATTGAAGATCTACTGAGAAACATCCGTACTCAAGTGCTGATTAAATTAATAAAGCCTTATACAAGAATCCATATTCCATTTATTTCAAAGGTGAGTTAAAGGAGGGAATCTGTATCTATATATTAAAAGAGTGAATCTGTATCTATATATTTATGTTAACTATGAAATTTTGCAGCCACAATATTAAAGCTACGCCACTGGTACGCAGAGCAAAACTAGCTTGAACATCCATTTACTCTGACTAAGCTTTTTCTGTGTTGGTTTTATTATGATACTAAAATCCCAGAAGCTAAAAAGATATTTAGGAGTTTAAAGAAACTTCACTGAGGTCAAAAGCCTAAAAATATAAAATTTGAATTTCTTACATATATCAGCATGTGCACTTAGAACAGAAAGATGTGCAAAAGATAATGAAGATATATACTCAAAAACAAGTTGAAAGTCTTATTTCTTTTGCTATTTTTACCTTGATATGAGTTTTGAAAAAATAATTCAACGTTTTTCAACTTTGGGTCATTTTTTAGCTCGACTTTTTTTTTTTTTGAAAAAAAAAGTAGAGGTATTGTTATAGTCAGGTCGGCGTTGCCGTTGCCGTTGCCTTTCCGAAAACTTGTACCTGGATCATAACTTTTTTATTTCTTGGTGTATTGTCTTCATACTTGGCCACAACAACCCTTGGGACAAGACCTTTCAGTAGACCACACTTACCTTGACCTTCATCCATAAATGACCTTGACCTTCAAGGTTAAAAGTCCAATTTTTGCTTGTTCATGCTGTTATTGGCTGTTACTTTGTTTTTTTAGCTCGACTATTCGAAGAATATGAGAGCTATTCTAGTCGCCCCGGCGTCGGCGTCGGCGTCAGCGTCCGCGTCGGCATCTGCGTTGGTTAAAGTTTTTTGTAAAGTCAAATATCTCAATTACTGCTTGAGATATTCAATTGAAACTTACAATACTTATTTATAGTAACAAGGTACATCAGATTGACAAGTTGGATAACTCTGCCTACAATATTGACAGAATTATGCCCCTTTTTAACTTAGAAATTTTGGTTAAAGTTTTTTGTAAAGTCAAATATCTCAGTTATTGCTTGAGATATTCAATTGAAACTTACAATACTTATTTATAGTAACAAGGTACATCAGATTGACAAGTTGGATAACTCTACCTACAATATTGACAGAATTATGCCCCTTTTTAACTTAGAAATTTTGGTTAAAGTTCTTTTTGTAAAGTCAAATATCTCAATTATTGCTTGAGATATTCAATTGAAACTTACAATACTTATTTATAGTAACAATGTACATCAGATTGACAAGTTGGATAACTCTGCCTACAATATTGACAGAATTATACCCCTTTGGAACTTAGAAATTTTGGTTAAAGTTCTTTTTGTAAAGTCAAATATCTTAATTATTGCTTGAGATATTCAATTGAAATTTAAAATACTCTTTTATAGTAACAATGTATATCAGTTTGCAAAATTGCATAACTCTGCCTGCAATATTTGCAGAATTATTTGCCCCTTTGAAACTTAGAAATTTTGGTTAAAGGTTAAAGGTCTTCAAAGATATTTACTTGAAACTTTACACATGCACTTAGGGTCATAATTGGAGGGTCATAATTGTATGTCACTGACCAAGTTCCATAACTCTATCTTGCATTAAGGCTGATTCATATCCCCTTTTCTACTTAGTCTCTTGGTTAATGTTAACACGATAGTTTTACATATCTCAATAACTATTAAAGATATTTATTTAAAACTTCACATATGCATTTAGGGTCATAATTGTAGGTCACTGACAATGATCCATAATTCTATCTTGCATTTAGGCTGATTTTTCTCCCCTTTTTCAACTTAAAAATTCATGGTAAAGTTTTGCTTGTTAGCTGTTATCTCAATAACTTCTGAAGGGTTTGTACCTTTTTTGGGAAAATTTTATGCATTCATAATAATAAAGCAGTGATTAACTTGATAAAACATCTTAATAACAAGCCTTTGTACCTTTTCTGTCAAATTTATGTATTCATAGGTAATTAGCATTATTTTACTCAATTAAACACCCTTGTGACATTACCTTCCGAATAGTCAAGCCAATACTGTATAATTAGACTCTCTCTAAGGCCTATAACATGAATTTATGGGAAAAAAATAGCTCTTTTGTGAACTTAAAAAATTTAACATTATAAAGGCTCTTTTACTATCAAGCACTTAGAATAGTTGAGCGTGCTGTCCTACCGACAGCTCTTGTTTTTGAATGGATTGTCTTCAAACTTGAACATAATAATCTTCAAGGATATCCCTTAAAAATAACCAGTCAGACCTTGACCTTCACTCATCAATGACCTTGACTTTGAAGGTCAGATTATTGAAATTTTCATTTTTTTGGCTATAATTGGCTGTAACTTTGTTATTTTTGAATGGATTGTCTTCAAACTTGAACATAATAATCTTCAAAGATAACTGTTAAAAATATACCGAAAGACCTTGACCTTCACTCATTAATAACATTGTCTTTGAAGGTCAAATTATTGAAATTTTCATTGTTTTGGCAGTAACTGACTGTAACTTTGATATTTTTGAAGGGATAAACTTCATATTATAACAGAACATTCTTAAGGACCAGACCTTGTTGTTTATCAAACCCAAATTTGCTTGGGCTCTTTAATGACCTTGACCTTGAAGGTTATATTACTGAATTTTCTCAGATTGTGCATTTATTGGTGTGTGTGTGTGTATGTATAGTATATGTATTATATATATATATATATATATTGCGTCATTTTTTTTCTATTTAGAAATTGCGTCATTGTTGCTATTTTTAGTAATTGCGTCATTTTTTTCTTTTTTTTAGAAATTGCGTCATTGTTGCTATTTTTAGAAATTGCGTCTTTTTTTTCTATTTTTAGAAATTGCGTCATTGTTGCTATTTTTAGAAATTGCGTCATTTTTTTCTATTTTTAGAAATTGCGTCATTTTTTTCTTTTTTTAGAAATTGCGTCATTGTTGCTATTTTTAGAAATTGCGTCATTTTTTTCTATTTTTAGAAATTGCGTCATTTTTTCTATTTTTAGAAATTGCGTCTTTTTTTTCTATTTTTAGAAATTGCGTCATTGTTGCTATTTTTAGAAATTGCGTCATTGTTTCTATTTTTAGAAATTGCATCATTGTTGCTATTTTTAGAAATTGCGTCATTGTTGCTATTTTTAGAAATTGCGTCATTGTTTCTATTTTTAGAAATTGCATCATTGTTGCTATTTTTAGAAATTGCATAATTGTTGCTATTTTTAGAAATTGCGTCATTTTTTTATTTTTAGAAGTTATGTCATTTTTTTCTGTTTTTAGAAATTGCGTCATTTTTTTCTATTTTTAGAAATTGCGTCATGTTGCTATTTTAAGAAATTGCTTAATGTTTCTATTCATATATATACAAAATATATAAACAAAACTAATGTGACAAGACAGACCAACTAAATTTATAAAAAGGAAACGTCAATATATGTTCAAACCTTTCTATGTTTGCGTTTAGAAAAAGTAAAAAGTCGAGCGTTGCCCCCGCCCGGCGGTGGCTCTTGTCCACATTTAGGATATATATTCTGGAAAAACAGAGTGAGTGAATGATCTGAAATTTTACACGTAAATTATAATATTGGTGTAGACTTACATCAAATGGAATTTCAGTCTCAAAAATTATTTCTAGTCCTGGCATGTCAAAAAATGTCAGTGGAGTCCCTTTAAGGATGTATTGCAGGGAAAGAGAATTAATAACAGCACTTATAAATGATTGATAATTTACTGCATAATGATGAAAAAATGGTTATCCCGCAAATTGCCTTATTTTTTCAAAGATAAAAGAAATAAGTAATTCAGCAGTTTGATAGCTGTAATTTGAAAATGACTCAAATTTTAAAGTCCAACAGGCTATGTAAAGATATTGTTGCAGTTTTCACGACTAGCATATGATATTTATTATTTTCATTTTATCTTTGTTGTTATTTCAGGAGTTAAATATAGATCCATCAGAGGTAGAGAATCTCTTAGTATCCTGTATTCTTGATAGGTGAGTCTGTTTCTGTTTATTGTAGAGCTGTCATTGATAAAAACGATGTGTCATCAATATTTTTCTGTTGATCAGTCATCGGCTCTCATTTTAAAAAATCAAAAGTTTTAACTACTTAATTAAATGTGTAAAAATCCAAAACATATACAGAAGCAAGTGTCGTTGACTAGCACTATTATGTTGTTACATAACGGGAATATTTCATAGCCGTGATGACAATAAATGGTCAGGAAAAAAATCATGCAATGGGCATTTATAAACACAACACTGAACATATTAACATGTATTTTAATGAAGTCATTTAAACAGGCATGAAAGTGAATGACAAGTTGTTATAGGTAATTAATTAATATATCGTTGTATTGTCTGATATCAATATACATGTATCATTGATATGCTTTGCATTGAATCAATGATAGCTCTAGAAACTTGTGTGATGTATAGACTGGTGGCCTGAATCATCCAGAAAAATAATTGAATAAATAAGTTTAGTAATCATTATGGATTACAGTTATATATTGTATGCATTTAAACGTACCTGAGATGTTTAAATATTAATATTACTTATTTCTTACAACATAGATATTAAAACAAGTCATCGCAAGAACTTCATTATGTTTCTGTGTTATATTTAAGTACAATATGTGTGTCCATGTTATATTTCAGTACAATATGTGTCTCTGTGATATATTTCAGTACAATATGTGTTTGTGTTATATTTCAGTACAATATGTGTTTGTGTTATATTTCAGTACAATATGTGTGTCTGTGTTATATTTCAGTACAATTTGTGTGTTAGTGTTATATTTCATCACAATATGTGTGTCTGTGTTATATTTATATACAATATGTGTGTCGGTGTTATATTTCAGTACAAAATGTGTTTCTGTGATATATTTCAGTACAATATGTTTGTTGGTGTTATATTAATTACAATACATGTGTGTGTTATATTCAGTACAATATGTTTGTCCGTGTTATATTTCAGTACAATATGTGTGTTGGTGTTATATTTCAGTACAATATGTATGTCTGTGTTATATTTCAGTACAATATGAGTTTGTGTCATATTCAGTACAATATATGTGTCCGATATATATTTCAGTACAATAAATGGTAGAATAGACCAAGTGAATCAGGTGCTGGAGCTGGACAGAGAGAGTGCCGGCTGTGCTAGATATAATGCTCTAGATAAATGGACCTTACAACTACAGTCATTACATCAGGCTATCATCAACAAAATAGCATAGCACTCAAATAGCATAGCACACAAATATATTTGATTAATATTTACAATATGTTTTGGGATACAGTGGTTATTGAAGAAGGTACTGAATAATATCTTGAACAAAAGAACTTATAAGATTGTGTTTTGTATAAAGAATATTGAAGAAAATTACGAATTATATCTTGGACAAAAGAACTAATAAAAGCATGTTTTTGTATAGTGAATTTTGTATAGTGAATATTGAAGAAAATTACGTCTTGTATCTTGAATGAAGGAAACTAATAAAAGCATGTTTTTGTAAAATGGATATTAATGAAAATTACGAATTTTATCTTGAACTAACAAGAGGATGTTTTTTGTATAGTGAATATTGAAGAAAGGTAACAAATGATATTGAAAAGGAAAGAAGTAATAGTGTATGTTTTTGTACAGTGAATATTGAAGAAAAAATATGAATGAGATCGAAAAAGAAGAAAATAATAGCATTTTTTGTTTAGAGTGAGTGTTGAAGACAAATACAAATTATACTTTGTAGGAAAGAACTGACACATTATGTTTTAATTCACTGAATATTAAAGGTTATAGTATTTTGAAGGAAAGAATTGAACAGTTTGTATTAATGTAAACTGAATATTGAAGAATACATGTATTGAGAAATTATATCTTGAACGCAAAAGAAACATGTACTGAGAAATTATATCTTGAACGAAAGAAACTGATAGAGAATGCTTTTGTGTACATTTAAGATTATGTTAAATATTTTGAACTGAAGAATTCTAAAAATACATTTGTACTGAGTGAATATTGAAAAAGATTTTCATCATCAGACAAAAGTCTTTTTGAAAAGCTTTAGAAATACTTTACAATATTGATTTTTTTACTCAATATATTCAGATATATGTTCAAAAACATGGCTTTAATACTAAATAGTTTTTTGATATGATTCCTAAAGGGATTTTTGATTAAGAGTTTTTTCTCATGGTGCCAATTAGATATCTCTCTGTATATAAATAGAAACACTTTTAATTAAGACATGGTCCACATTTTACTTCTTTGAATATACATTGCATGGACTGTGTTTTGTTAAAGGTACTTATATCAAATATTTAACTGCAGACTTTGCCTGGATTGGAAGAGAAAGAATGACATACACAAAGATTTCTTATAATATTTATTACATATTCATTAATGCCATGCAAACTTTAACATTATCTTGTTGTAAATGACTTTCTTTTTTTTACAGAATAAAAAAAAGAACAAATTTGAAGTTGTTAGTAAAATATTTTATTCTATTAATTAGATCAGAAAAGAATAAAGTATGATTTATTTCCAATGTGTACAATGCACATCTCTCTCTTGTCAACTATTCTTGTCTTTAAATTTGATTTTACCAGCTTTTATAGGTGAAATAATGCAAAAAAAGTGTTCCATTGGTCAGGAGGCTAAGGCAGCTGAGTATAAATTGCTTGCCGCCCGCACCCCCCCCCCCATCACTGTGAGTTCGAATCCAGCTAGTTTACTGAAGTGGTTCTACACAGGTGCCCACTTCACCTGTGAAATAATGGACAGAAATGCACATTAGACTTTTTATGTAAAATAAAGTCATCATGAAAATTTACAGTGTCTGTTGCAAAACAGAAGCAAAAACAAAACAATAAAAAACATGTATTCAGGGGAAATGTAAACATTTTCCTCAGTATATGATTTAAAACTATGATTTTGGCATATTTTATTAATCATACTAAAATATTTCCTGTAGATAAATACATTTTTTTTCAGGAAAAATTGCTCCGAATTCAAGCCTTCCAATTGATTTCTGTAATTACAAATTCTCTCTTTGTACAAGCCTGTTATTTTGCCAAAATTCTCATTCGGAAAATAAACTGCTTATTACTGTGCCAAATATACAAATAGGGAGTTACTGTATTTCCTGTAAGTATTGTTCAGATGATAATTTAGAACAAACAATTGCTTATTGATAAAAAACGGAGACTCTTGGCCTAGCTTTGTACATAAAGTAGTTTGCTAATGACATGTTATTGCTACTTATAGAAACATTCAAAAATGAATATAGATGATATAATTATGGTCATTTGCATGTCAGATTTGTTATTAAATGATGGAACTACATGTTTGATAGAGCGATTACTATACACATGTAAATCAGCCGTACAATAACCTTTGTAACAGTCTTCTTATAAAGAGAAAATATTCAGGACGATTTTTGGCGTCCAAACTGTATACAATGAGCAATTATTAAATACTAACAATTGATTGACTTGAAATTGATTAGCCTTCCAATGACCCTTGCATGAAAGAAAATATTAGAAACATTTAATTTTTCTAAAACTTTAAAAGTATTATCTTGGTCCAAGGGCTGAGTGGTTAAAGTCACCGACTTCAAACCGCTTGACTTCCACCGCTGCTGGTTCGAAACCTGCCAGAGGGTACGAATTTTGCCATGTGATGCGAGGAAGCTATACAGATGGTTTAAAAACTTAATGGTGTTACTCCGGGGCTCGTTTGGAGGAGATATTGAGGTCTTCCACCATCGCAACCATTAATGGACCTGTAAAACTTACTGACTTAAAACAATCAAACCCACACAACATTACTGGCTACATTGTTTTTAAAAACCGATAAGACATGATTCAAGTAATATAAAATGAAGATTTTGTCCCAGTTACTATAAATGCAGAACCGTGATTATGAAATGCAATTTTTCTATCAGTATGGCAAATAATTTTATGCTCAAGGAAAACATTTGTTGAAATTGTACTATACAATTATCATGCAAAAATAAACAAGACTGTATAAAATTTCTATACTATCATAATGTTGCAGCCATCGCCTAAAGATTAATGCAAATTGAACATTTATATTCCCGTATTTACACACAAATGGACTAGATATGTACCAACATATTGCATGACAAGATCCACGTCAATAAAACTTTATCCCAAATAACTTGTAGATAAATCACACTGCCATGATTCCTGTTAGAATTTAACGCCTTCAGCAGCAGTTTCCTTTTACCTCATTAGTGCAATCAGAAACATCCCATTTGACTTTATTGATTGACAAGAAAAAAACAACTTATATGGTTAAGAAAAATCTGGCAACTCAAAACCTGCAAACATTTAGCTCAATAAAGTAATATAGATAGCCCTGTAACCAGGTTCACGTGCAGTATAAATAAAAACATGTACGATTTTAACTGCTCATATATTCTACAACAAACTGACACCTACTCATTATTAATTACTGAATAACGTTTATAACATGCCATCTGTTTATCTTGAAATTATGATCTATGATGAAATATATTTGCCAATGATATAATAGATTTCTTGAAATAATTAGCAGCCATTTATAATAAAGTCCATAAATGTTAAGTGCAAAAAAATAATGTAATGTCTATAAAAAGTCAACAGATACAAATATCAACGTACGCCATCTTGTATACATAAAACATACAGACAGAAGCCCTCAACAATATTTTTTTTGAGGACAGCAAAATCTATTTTGAGCTAGAAAACAATTGTGTAGCATTGATTACTATCCTTAGCGATCAGAATTAGAAAGATGCATTATTAAAAGTTTAACATCGAACTTGTTTGCTTTTAATTGTAATAATATAGTTCATACATACTAGTTAAACCAAATGTATTCACACTGTTGTAATAAATAAAATTGACATTGAGAAAGTGTACGTCACAAAAGCTCATAAATGTGCTTCCTCGTCTGCTTGGCTTTTTTTTTATTAACGACATAAAACAAATTACTCTCTGAACTATATAATGGTTGTCTGCAGATCTTTGACAAAGTGAATTATTTTCCAACTTTCTTTTATGAATTTTATTGTGTCAAATATTCCATCAATAAAGATAAACACGTCATATAGAATAGTAAAGTCGTATTGCTCTTTTATCTTCTTAATGATAAGTCGGGCAGCCATGTTTGAGTTCATGGAAACATAGATTTGATATAAAAACATCACTTTATAATAAAAAAAAACAAATTGACATTCTGTTTCCCAATAAAGAGTGATCGGATTACAGAGTTTACATTAAATTGAAAAACAACAGTCTGTATACTTGACAGAAACATCAAATGTGAAATTATAGTAAATGAACATCATGATAATGTTATATCTGGTAAAAAGGTAAATGTCTGTTTTGATTAATAACTTGACTGTGAGACAAAAGTTTTGTACAATAAACCAGTCTCATATTTGTAAAGTTATAATCTTTTATCTTGTAAGCCTTTAATAGAGATATTATATCAGTTACTTTGTTAGAAAGTACATACAGTAAAACCTTTGTTAGTGACCACTTCGAACAAAAATCACCCTGTTACTAAAGACCACTCTACACTAACTTGTCATTGATTATTTAGAACAAAGAACCTCCAAATAAAAAAACATTTGTTTATAAAGATCATGCTGGACACTCTTTTGGGTGGCCTATGTTCACAGGTTTGACTGTATACTAGATAAGGCTATATTTTATCAATAGAGATACAATTTTTTTTTTAAACTTTATTTTACAGATATTTTGTTGATGTTATTAGACTACTTATGTAACTTTTTGCATGTTTTTTATGATTATATTCCTTCGTTATTTTTCCCCCTTTAAATATCATATCCAATTATAAGTTAACATGCAATTATTTTAGTACTCTAACAATTCAAGCTGGAAATATACAATGTAAGGTCAGTTGGAGGTAGATGGATGCGTCTTGTAGGTGTGGATTGACCTTATCACTTGACAAAATCCATCTTGAACTTCATCTGTATTTTTTGTTTTCGTTCCCTTATTCTAAATTTTTAAGTGATAAAATATAATAATAAAAAAACACATAATATAAGTTGTTTATATTGTCCTCTGCTTTGGACATACTTTATGTTTATAAATAGTGTAAAAATTAAAAATTCAATCTGGAAATATACAATGTAAGGTCAGTTGGAGGTAGATGGATGCGTCTTGTAGGTGTGGATTGACCTTATCACTTGACAAAATCCACCTTGAACTTCATCTGTTTTTTGTTGTTTTTTTCTCTTGTTCCCTAAGTCTAGATTTTTTAAGTGATAAAATTGAATAATCATAGAAAACACATAGTACCGATTGTTTATATTGTCCTGTGTTTTGGACATGCTATAGGTTTTTATGTGCATCTGTTGGCCGATAAGCAGGAAAAACTGTGTACTAGTATGGGGAGATCAATAAAAACAACTACAGTATATGAAGTTGAAAAAAGGGCAAAATTTATTATGCCATTAGAACAAATATCTATTAAGCAAAAGATATCCCCATATCTGGCTGAAAAAATTCCGCCAAAAGACCAGATTATGACAAAATCTGGGATGACCGCCAGATACACAGGTATGCTTAGCGGCAAATTAGCCACATATTTATAAAAGATAATTTTAAGCAGGCAAATTAGATACGTATCAGGTATGTGTATGTAAATGGTATACTTGCTAAAACGGGAATTAGGTGAATGAAGTTTATTTACTCTATAATTGAAAAATGTATTGAAGAATTGATATCTAATATAAAATAATACTGATACCATGTGTAAAAATATTGATAACACATAATTAACAAACAAATTATCAAATACAAGTGAAGATAAATGTTATAGAAACCTTACATATATAAAAACAATGTTTTTCGATATCCTTTTTATGTGAAATGGTATAAATTGGTGTTTTATGCCAACTATTAAGCATTAATGTTATTCACCATGGTTCTACAACTACAATGGTAATATATACATCACATAACAATTCTATGATGCCGCCTCACAACGGTCAAAATAGTATATAAACTAATACAAAGACATGTTGTACTATTTACAAATAGTGTCATATAATTAGAAGTACAGGTAGTTTGCCGCCTCAGTCGGTCAAGCTGGTGTGTACAGCAACATTTACAGTGACTTATTGCTAGTGCCGCCTCAGACGGTCACGCTAGCTGACATAAATATAAATAATTTACAGTTAAAAAGGCTTAACAGTTCTTGCCAATATGATAATACTTGCTGCCTCAGTCAGTCAAGTTTTTAACAGAAATCGTGTGGCACTTTTGATTATGTACATGTATGTATTGTCAACTTCACTCCACTGGATCCAAACCCGTATGAAGGATATCAAACATTGGATTGTCCAAAGCACTCTAGGACTTGCTGCCTCAGCCAGTCAAGCCAGAAATTATATTGTATAGTTGAGTTAAATCTCCTACCTTAGACAGGTCAAATAGTAAC